TTGTCCATGAAGTGACAATGAAAGCCTCTGAAGTGGCACTGTTACCAGAAAATAATGAAAGCAATGAGATGCTTATAAATTATGCATGCACATGCACATGAGAATCATGGGATCATGAATTGATGATATATTGGTTTGTTGTACGTACTAACGTTATTAAGGGCTACACATGATGATATTGCACCACTTGTTATAATTGTCGACAAATGTAAATAAAGATTGGCCAACTGGAAGAGGCAGTCGAGTAAAGTTGGATATTTCCGGAAAAAGTGCAATGATTGAACCTATAGTTAAAACACCAAAAGGATATAAAAATGTATATGTTACAAATTGGTGTTTGAAATGAAGTGAAATAAATCACTTGATGATATGGCACAATGTTTCTTAGTAAAGATACAAGATTATGATGGTAAACATATGCAGCTATGTTATGCATATTTATGGAAAATTCATGTGTATAAAAATTCCTGAAGGATTCAGAATGCCTGAAGCAAATGATTAAAATATGATGACTTGTAATGATCCTTGTGTTGATTAAAGTATTGTGGAAGAATATGATATAATCATCTTAATGAATATCTATTACAAAAGGAGGATTCCTCTGATTTAATAAATGAATTGGAGATGGAAAATCTAAAAGATTATGAAGTTAAGCATATCGCTAGAAGCGATCTTTTGAAGAATACATAGGAATAAATTCTAAGAGATGTAAAATGTCATACATTATATAAATTATTGAAAGTAAATCTCTAAGAAGTTAAGGAGCCTGAAGCTCAATGTCTATACTCAATTTTCATGAAATGAAAATGATCTAATTGCCTCAAGTGAGGGTATTGACTGAGTTATGAATTCGAATTCAAGTTCAAAATTGTTGCAACGTATTCAAATTTTTAAAAGAAGTTATCAGAATATTTAGGTCTTTTGAAGAGCCTATGACAAGGTAGCATAGTATATAAAAATTTATATGAATAGCATCTTAAATCATGCAATTTTATACTTTTATCCCCGTAACAGTAACGTATGAATTTGCTTATATTATTATTTTGATGATATTATAGAATATGATGTTATTTTAAGAATTGTTAATGTAAAAGGATTTGTGAAAATAGTCTAGATACTTTTGGTATTACTCTAACCTCAACAGGGATTCAAAGGAATGACACACATACATCCTCCAATGATGATATTGAAGAATTTGTATACAAGGATTACCAAAGTTCACCCAGCAAGAGGAAATTGAGATATCAATATCATTTGTATTGCATCTTCAAATAATTCAAGTTTGTCGTCATCATGGGGAGTAATTCATCAGGGGGAGCATTATATGCGCGCTGTACTCTTTTCCCTTGGACTAGGGTTTTGTCCTACTGGGTTTTTCCTAGCAAGGTTTTAATGAGGCAGCATAAGCGTGTCCAACACCATATCAATGATCCAGAAGAATGTTGCACTCTTTTTCCCTTTGCTTAGGTTTTGTCCCACTGAGTTTTCCGAGTATGGTTTTTAATGAGGCAACTATGTCAATTGTATGTTGTACATCCAAGGGGGAGTGTTGTAAATGCATGAGTTGGTGGATGACCACCATACCTCTTAGCATTCACCCTTTCTAATTCTATGTAACCTATGCACTAAATACCATTGTTATGGGCTTGTAACTTATGAGTTGTTACTGTGTTCTTACCATTGTAAGCCTATAAATAAGAGAGCTTATCAAGATGAGATATACAAGTTGATTGAACAATTTCTATTGTCTTTCTCTACTTTCCAATTATCTCTACAATTTTCCCTTAGTTATATAACATTAATAATCTCTTTTGAACATTAGTGTTTTTTTTATGTGCATGTTTGCTCAATGCCACTAAGTTCTTCGTGTCGTGCCATTTAATTAAGCAGGTTGTGCCGTGTTGATCTGCTATCCCCGTATGTCCCATGCCTTGTGTGATAACACCTGTCCCTAGACTATAGACTAAATTAATTTCTTTCCCACAACTCCTAGTGTCTTCTTCACTCGGGCAGCCGCTTACCTCATGTTTCTCTCAAGCGGCCACCTCTCTCTTTTCTTAGCATACAATAACTCTCTCTATACAACCCATCAATCTACACTTTGATAAGAAGCAACTCTTGCTTGATCATACTCAGGAATTACATCTGCATTTGAGGTGTCATCTAATTCATCCCAGTTGTATTGCTGAGCAAAGTCAGCAAGATGATACAGATCTTGCGAGCTCTATATAAATATTTCCTTCATATTAAGGAGCTCTTCCATATTCTCAACCACATTCTTCTTAGCTTTTTCGCTCTTCTTCTTACCTTTATTCTTGTCATCTAGTTTAACAACTATTTTCAATTGTTCAACATAATGTAGATTAATATGGCGGTAAAATGTAAAATAATGTACAAAAATATAGAAAACTAAATTCCATGCATTATGTATTTGATCATAAGATACGACATCAATGGATAAACATCAATCTGCATGTCCACTTACCTTACTAGAATTAAGATCAATGATTTTTTTTTTTTTTTTTGTAGTGTAAATGCAATTTTTTTTTTTGGGTTGTTGTGAGGAGGAGTCCCCATGTGGCTTATTTAAAATGTTTTAATAGTAAAAGTTGAGAGCTTTGCATATAGGTGGTTGAATAGGAGGTGGATCTTGAACATCATAAATATCTCCTACAAAAAAGAAAAAGAAATTAGAGTTAATAAATACATGTCTTTTTTCGTGAGAAGGAGTCCTATATGCATGTGGTGTCCTTAAATCCCAATAAAAAAATCCTTGTTGTTGTTGTTTTTTTTTTTTTTTTTTTTTTTGGTGGGGTGAAAAGGTGTATAAATAAATAAAAGAAAATTTTTCAAAACAATTAATAAGCAAATGCATAAACCTTTGGGCTCTTGAATAGGAGGCGGAGGGAGAGAACTCATTTTCAAGGTTTAGGTCTAAGTCTACTCTTATATAGGGGTTGGGCAATGCACTTCATATTGTATATAGTAGTTGTCCTATATGGGGAGTAGAGGGGCCACATGAAAACAAAAAAGTTGAACACATTTGTCCATGATTGCATAAATTATATAATTCTTGTCAACCAAAAGAAAATGAGTTATTAAGCCACCTACGAAAATACCTTATTTTCTAGCCTTTGGATTTGATTAAAGACTGTTGGAATAATTTTGAAAAATAAATAAAATATTGAAAACAAAGTAAAACACTATGACCTTTTATTTTAAGCGTATCCCCTGCTATATTTCAGAAGGAAAGTTTTGAATCATGAGAGAAAAGCAAGATTAACTTTCATTAATAATGCCTTGAAAGAATACAAAGAGAGCTCACGCACACGCTATTACAACCTCTAGCTGTTGTCCTTGTCCTTTAGACATTTCATATATGCAATATATAATGACCTAAGTGTAATGAAAGGGAATAAAGACTCATCCTTTACTCAATATGCTCTATAAGTGCTGAGTTTTCTTGGGTGTTTTGCGTGTAAGTGATTATGAGTCATTGATGCGTTGTAGAAAGCTCACATGCATAGGTGCATTCTTTGGTCGGATCGGCAGGCTGTGTTGCCGAAGGCTCACCCTGTTGATGATTTGTGTAAGGTAGGGTTGCCGAAGGCTCTCTCTACCGATGATCGTTTTATCGGCCTCAGTACTTTGTCTGGTCTTTGTGGATTCCTTTGTAGGTCTCAAGTTCCATGTGTCATGGGATGATTGGCCGGTCAACTATGGTATAAACAGAAGTCCTTCAAGTTCCCAATAGAGAAAAGACTTCTTTGTTAGGGACTTACTTTTGTCTTCTACATTTTGAACGATATTAAGTTTGCAAAGATGGTGAGATTGTCCTTTTCTTTTCTTTTCTTGCCGATGGCAATCCCTTAGTTTCTCAAGTCTTCGATCAAGGAGACGGTTGGAATAAAAGATAAGCATAAGCATCCCGAATGGTATGGGGAGTGCTTTCCCTTGGGGTGTCGATGTAAAATCTTGCTGAATGGTAAGCGTAGTAGGCCTGTCCTGGTATGTGCTGAGGTAGTGCTTACAGTTCGGTAGGTGGACGACAAAATGTGCCTTACCGTTAGGCATGGAATGGTGTGAGAATTCCCAAAATTCATCTTATTGTTCGGTAAGTTAGCATGTCATGGGGTAAGGGTTACAAAAATTCATCTTACCATTCGGCAAGTTATCATGGTGTGATACCATGGTTCTCAAAATTCATCTTACCGTTAGGTAAGCCATGAAGGTGTGGCACTTGATGTTTCCAAAATGCAAGTTACCATTTGGCAGCTAGGCTAGGTAGCCTTGTGGTATATGAAGGGTATTTGCCGAATAATCGTGACTTTATAAATTTCTTAAATTTTGTGAGCCCTAGGGGTTAATAATTGAATGGTTGGACAACTTGACGCTTAGTCTTTTGCACTTGCATGGGTGGCTATTTATTGTAGCCAAGTGCTGCATGGCGAGAATTCGTAATGCGTAGGTTCATCATAATGACGCTCTATAGCGAACCATGGTGAACTTGAGGAGCCATCAATTTATAAGAGATGACTCATGTTTGAAAAAATACTTTACGTTTTTTGCGAAAAAAATTTGATAGAGTGAGGCGATATCCGGTGATCCAATTTCTAGTGAAGGCCATTTTTGTACGACAGTGTGAGTGACGATGTGATTTTCAGTGACCTTCTCAACCAAATCGAACAAGGTTTTTAAGCTTTCTTCTTACTTTTTTTCAATCGAAGTTCTTAATTTTCGATGAACTCGTATGAATTCACATTATCGGATATAAACACAAGGAGCTTGTTGTAAGACAGGAAACTTAGGATTTGAGAAAAGCCTAGGATCATAGTTTGATCCAAGCATGACCCTTAGTTTCCCTTAGTTTCTGTTTGTGTCAGATGATGACACTCTGAATATGAACAAAGTCCCCATGCATTCGATAGAGAATCATTAGATGATGATTAGGGTCCCAAATATGAGCAAGGTACCAATTGTGATGACAGCTAGTTTCGGGCATGTCGGCTAGAGAAGGCACGATAACAGAAGAAATAGTGATTGTAGGTGCCGATTTTGGCGTGCATGATGAGAAGAGAATGGTAGTCGAAAACATTCTTGATGAGGGTGCTGTAGACGGGGAGCCTATAAGTTTTAAGCCATATGGGGCCTATATTGTGAAAATATGTCAGTATCTTAATTTTTTGATGACTCATACGTGCCTTCCCAAATGGCATGCAAGCTATCAAACTTTGACCTCTAGCCGTGTAGAGGTTTTCGAATCATTATATGTGGCGGTAGGGCCTTCATATGTGATTTTTGTTATAATGGAGAGCCAGAAGGATACTGTTTACTCGCCCAACCTAACCTCAACTCGGTGTGATAACCTTGGGAGGAATTATCAAATGGTAGCAAGCATGGCTAAACTGAGGCAGAAGCATCGTATCCCTGATTTGGTGGGGTTGAGGTTGAAATTGGATGTCAAACTCACCCAACTAGATTGCCCATTTGATCAATTGGCCAAAAGTCTCCAGCTTTTGTAGTACTTGCCGTATAGGCTAATTGGTGAGTACAATGATGGCATGAGCTCGGAAATATAGTCGAAGCTTACATGTTGAAACGATCAAGGCAAAATCGAGCAGTTCCAACACTGGGTATCGAATCTCAACATTTTAAAGGGCACGTCTGACACATTGGGAGTTCGACTCCTCCTAGTTTTCGAATTAATACGGAGCTAATGACGATTTGTGAAACACATAAATAGATGGAAAGGATTTCACCAGGAATGGGCTTGGATAATAATGGTGCTCTGCTCATATAGTTCTTCAGATATTTGAATGCGAGGTCACATTTGGCAGTCCAAGTAATGTGTCGTTTGTTGCCTTTGATAGCCTTGAAGAATGAGGAACACCAATTGGTAGCCTTAGAAATGAACCTTATTAAGGCTGCAACACTGCCGATATGGCTTTGAATGTCTTTTTGCATCTTCAACACTTGTATGTTGATAAGAGCTTTAATTTTCTCGTGATTCACTTCAATGCCACGTTGGCTGATCATGATGTAAGATCCCACATCGACCAACGGAGAGGGGTTGATGTGCCTTATATGTGCACACTCGCATCCATCTAGCACTAGGCCTTTTGGGAGCTCACTGGCTTCGGAGTCATGGGAACTCCGAAGTTAAGCGAGTTGAGGGCTAGAGCAATCCCAAGATAGGTGACCCACTGGGAAGTTGCTCGTGAGTTCCCAGAAACAAAACTGTGAGGGTAGAGAGGAGGGCCCAAAGCGGACAATATCGTGTTACGGCGGAGCCTATCCAGGGATGTGACACATGCCAAGGAAATTGCCCAAAGATATGCCGAAAATACATTTTGTCAAATTCAACAGCATTCGGTACTTCTTCAAGATGTTAAACATGATTGAGAGGTTGTGGAGATGTCGTTCAATAGTTTTGCTTTTGACCAACATGTCATCCACATAAACCTCCATGGTGTTACCGATAGGGTTTAGGGTTTAGGGTTAAGTAGCTGAATGAAACATTTACCTCATTTTGGGGATTTGCACTCCTATTTATAGATCTTGTGAGGTGTGCACCTTAAGTGAGATTTCAATATGGGACTGTGGGCATTGCCTGGGAGGGTGTAACGCGTCTTTTATCTACATCTTGTTTAGCCTGGTAAAACAGACATCTTCTTTGGTTGGATTGACAAATTATATTGCAGAAGGCTCATCGTGTCGATGATGTGTGTAAGGTAGGTTGCTCAAAGCTCTCCCTATCGATGATCGTTTTATGGGCCTCAGTGCTTTGTCTGGGTTCCTTTGTAAATTTCATATTTCACATGTCATGAGATGATTCCCCAATCAGATATGATATACATATGAGTCATTTTGAATCTTACCCAACCAAGAGCCAATACATTGGGTGAATGATCCAAGATATAAAAGTCCGACTCCAATCGGTTGGATTTTGAAAATTTAGGGCTGTGAGTCTGACTTGTGAGTAGAAGAGAATTCCTTTTGAATCTTACAAAAAAATAAAATAAAAAAACTAGTGAAGAATTAGATTCTTAAATTAAATTGGGCCAGATCCGAGGACCTCTTTTAAAACCCGGCCCATTGAGACTCCTGCATGCCACCTCACCCCCACCAGCCCTAAAAACCCACACCGATCCCTAAATAAACACAATCTCCGCTGCACCTATCCCTCCGACAGTGAAACCAAAAGAAAAGAACCCCCTTCATTTTAACTTCTTTTTAAAACTAAATTATTTTTATCAAAATCCAAAACAAAAATTAAAATGCCAACAAATCACTCTTCTAATTCCTCAACTTCACCTCTCTAATTTGAATTCATAACAACAGAAACAAGGCAGTTCTTCAAAAACAAAAACAAAAATCAGATAACCATGCGGCCAGGCTAGGGCTCCAAAATTAATTGTGCAGAAATAGAATTCAACAGTCATTAAACTTTATATATGTATGTATATATATATATATATATATATATATTTTAATGACTGTTGAATTCTATTTCTGCACAATTAATTTTGGAGCCCTAGCCTGGCCGCATGGTTATCTGATTTTTGTTTTTGTTTTTGAAGAACTGCCTTGTTTCTGTTGGTTCATTTGCGGTTTTGGTGATTAAATGAGTGAATTGAAATCTTTGGGATAGAAATTGATGTGATTTTGTCCGTCGTTTACTTTAGTGAAATAGGACTTTGGTTCAGCTAGATATAAGATTGATGCTGTAAAAAGCGCGAATTTAACTATGGCTGAAGGTGGTGTGCATATATGCACACACGCACATGTATATAAACCTTGGAGAAGCTGGAATGAGGAGGTGTCTTGGAGTTCTGGTCTCAATTTCACATTATGATCAGTATTGTTTTGTTAATGAATAGAGAAACAATATTCGGTCTGCATCCTAATAGCTTTAACTTTTAGGAAGAGTTGTAAACTAAGTAACCATACGAAATTTATTATGGTATCAGAGCTGAAGATGCTGAATTCAGATCCATGCAACTGCAAGCTTTCAGTTTATGTTAAATTAGTTCGACGTGATTGGCTCTCTAGTGGCAGAGAGGCTCACACTTTAGGGTAGTATTATTTGTTTTTGTGGTCAAGATTGCACAACTGTCTTGAATTTTGAAAAATCAAAGAGTACGATCTACAATTTTTTGAAGAACTGCCATGTTTGTGGTTGTCCGGTTTGGTAATTAATTTGAGGGAATTTAATTCCTGCCCAGAAATTGATGTTGTTTATGGTTTTGAAGGCAAGTAATTAGCATTCAAAATGTTAATGTAACTATGCCTCACGGTGTAATGAGGAGGCGTCTTGGAGTTGTGGTTTCAATTTCACATGATGATTAGTAGAATATGCAAATTATAGTCGGTCTATGTCCTGTTAGCTTAGACTTTAGGAAGAGTAGTTAACCAATGTAACTTATTATTGTATTAGAGCTGAAGATGCTGAATTCAGATCCATGCATCTGGAAACTTTCAATGTATGTTGAATTAATTCTATGTGTTTGGTTCTCTAGCGGTGGAAAGGCTCAGATGTTAGGGGACTGTTAGAATGTAAAAAACAACAGATGTTCCACATCTGAACGGCATCTTTGTGAGAAGAATTAGACCTCTTTGCTAGTTTGAAGATCTTGGTAGAATCTGTTGCCATGCTATTCTTGTGCCTACAAGATTAACTTGATGGGAGTTCACAACTTTTTCTGGTTCAATTATGACATGATTGAAATGAGTAGGGGCTTTGATGAAGCTGATAATTGACAGAATAACCCCTTCTTCTCAATGAAGTAGGGGAGGTCTAGGGAAGATAAGCGAGTTACAATATTCATTTATGGGTCTGAAAACTAGGTAGTTGGGGTAAACTTTCATGAGCTGTGCAAATGCCATGAAATAAAAATGCTTCTGAATGTTATTTGGAATCCTGTGATAATAATAAAAAGAAATTTTTTTGGAATTTTTTGGTGAAATCATAATATTATCAATATTGCTAGGCACGCCACAATCTTATGCCATATTTTAAGACCACCTTATGTGGCAGCTGACTTGGAGATGCCACGGTAGTTAAGTACTTAATGAGTTAGCTAGGTATTAATTTTTATTCCTTTTAACTAAAAAGACCAAATAAAATTTTCAGGCCTACTTCTAGTGTCTTTCTATCCATCCCCTCTCTCATTCCCCCCACTGGTCAGACGTCCATCAACGGTATCAGTTAATGGTGAAAACAAATATAAAAAGTGGTAAAGAACAAGAGGATTCTACCTCTGGATTCTGTGTCTGATCCGTATACACATTCTTTCAGTGCTGTACATTTGAAGATCTGATTTTGCAGATCATATCTCATTTTCACTGATGAATTGCCATATCGGAACTCATGCTTTCTTGATGGCGAGTATGGTTGCTTCTGGAAGTTCATGACTAGTCTCTTCACACAGAATTAGATCTATTCACGTATGTTTATTAGACATCTGATCTCTTTTCCTTTTGCAGATCCAAGTCTCAACCTTTTCTCACATTAGCTCTCTTTTCCTTTTATCCATCTTTTTTTATACCATGAAATTAGTTCTCACTAATCTGTCTCATGCTCGTTTGGTGCCTATGATTGGATTGGATTAGATTACTCACTAGATTTAAGGTATATTGAAGGAGGAAATGAAGGTAGAGGTGAATGATTTTTTATTTTGTGGGCATTAAAAGGGATGAGTTATGACATGTTGATATCTACCATTTTGTGGGGATTCAATGGGATAAGTTTCCTTCATGAGTGATCCATCTTCTACCTTCAACGTAGACAAAATTTATTCATTTCTTCATTCAACATGCCTTAAATCTAGTGAGTTATCTAATCCAATCCAATCCTATCCCAGGCACCAAATGAGCCCTTAATTGATGTGGCATGCATAACTTAGCTGCCACATAAGCTGGTTATGGTATAAAATTGTGGTGCGTCAAGCATTATTGTAATATAGTTGATGCAGTAACCATTACATACTAAATAAGTTCTGCAATTAGAAAGTTATCTATCACGCGTGCAAAGAATGCTGCTGTAGTTATTGTTAGACAAGATTCGGGATTTTCACTAGAATGCATCCTAAACAGACTTGAAGAAACGTTCAGAAAGTTATTACATATGAAGTTATTTGTTTGGACCGAAAGAACAAGAAATACCCTTAGATATGGAAGATGAAAGGAGGTGTACCCTCTTCTAGCAAATTACTTGGAGTTCATCAGAGTGTCGTTATCTTCTGTATCTGGCATTCTTGGGTCCATGTTGTTTCCTTGGGATGGTGGACCTCTGATTCACTGCATCTTGTATTGTGTTTTGAGCTCTTTAATAAAATTTAGTTTCATAAAAAAAAACATTATTATTTTTTTCTTTTAATTTTCAGCCATTCCTGAAATTTGTTCAATCACCATCTGAAGCACTTTTAAAAACTTGAGATAATCCATCTTCATTACCATCTGCAAGAAAGAATCAAGTTACTATGTGAGGGTATTGTTCACAGCTCTCACTAAGGCAAATCCTAATATGGTTTTGTTTGTTAGAATCAGTTATGATCCTTCTCCTTTGTGCCCCATTAGGAGATAGGCCGTAGTGGATTAATTTGTACCTTGATATTGTTGAAGATGTTTTAGGAAGTTTTGTTTTTTGCTTCAGACACACTGTTAGATTTTTCACTCACCTTTATTGTTGAAAATATTTATTGTTTTTAGAATAATATCCTTTTCTTTCTGTGATCATTTTGTTGAGCTGAATTGAATGTCCAGGTGTCCATACGAGTCATGCAAGAGTTGCTGCTCAAAAGCTCAAAATCCATGTCATATTCACGGTATGTTAATTCTAGTCTCTATACCTTATCAAAACATCTCTACCTTCAAGTGTGTGGGTATTTGGAACATTGGATAATTATATATATATATATATATATATTTTGTTGTTGTTTGCTATTTGTTTGTATGGTTTCCAACACTAATGTGAAGATTCAAAGCATATTGGCAAGTAACCTAGTTTTCCCTTTTTTAGTTGGGAAGCTCATCCATTGTCCCATAAATTCTTGTCCACTTATACTACCCTACTTATTTTTTATGCTAGCCTGGATATGTCTTACTGACTATATAATGCTTTAGAATTAATTCTAGCAATGCATGCTGGTAATTTTCTACATTTATTTGGTTGCTATCTATTCTTTTATTCTCTGGCAGTGTAGTAAAATGCTTAAGAAATGGTTGATGTAGAGAGACTTTGGTATGGATGGTAATAAATTTCATGTCGGGAAGAGTGATGATAACTACTGCAGCTTTTTGAGGGGTTCAATTTTGCCAGCTAGGTTAGGTAGTAAAATGTCATGGTTCAAAAAGGGTGATGAGCTGATGGCTATGTCAAAGACTGCGCGGCCATCTAGTAAAAATGTCGCGACTGTTGTGGTGAGTGGTAATGGGGAAAAATTGACAATTGCCAATTTACGTATTTCAATTATTATTTTCCAAAATGGTTACTCTAATGTTTCCTTCAAGGAAGAAGGCTGATAGCTTAAAAAACTCTCATAAGGGTGCGTAGTACTCTTTTCCATCACCCATGCAGTCACTTGTGTTGTGTGCACTGAGTAAGATACCTGTGGCAATGTTGGAATCTTAGAGTGGACTGTGCAATAATGAGAGGAGCTTAGTGTCTCTCGAATGCTGGAAGCATAATGGACTGTGTCGGCAATACAGGATTGCTAGCACTAAGACCTTCTGTGTAACGCAATGTTTGGATGAAACATTAGATATTTGTGGGGCCTCTGGCGACCACCAGAGTAGGCTGGAGCCAGTGTGGTATTGGTTTGGTTTTGGCCATGCTAGTGGGTAACAATATGCTTATAGGCATGAAGGGTAATCTGTGTTGTCAATGGACAAGATTGGTTATGTAACATTTGGATTATAGTTGCTCACTTAGGAAGCTTGCCTATGCATACAGTAAGTGTGAATTAGCGTGTGCATGTCAGAATCATCAATGGCTCATTTACGCTACACAAAAGACAGTGATGGTGTATTGATAAGGGTAGGATGTTGAGTTCATTTGGGCATTTTCTTGCACGATTTCTTTCGGGTTGTCTGTTACTTATGATGCACTGTAAGGGATTTAATTATACGTTTAAGCTTTTGATCCTATGGACTTCTTGCCATCTTATTCTATTCTTTGCTTTTCTCTTTTCAATATAATTCTTGTTTTGTTATAAAAAGACAACGCTCATCAGTTTTGTCCAATTTTTTGATGATATAACCAAGCGTGCAAACTTCGTTTGTTGCTTACTCAAATATATGAACTGATCTACATTGAGTCACCATATGGTTTGGGTTGGCATAGGTAGTTCTAGCGTTTAGGGTGGGTGTTTCATCCTTTCTGGAGCATGACCTTGTTTTTGGTTTCTCTTTTCTGACTGTATTACCACTGCAGTTTTGAAATCAAATGCAACATTTCCAGACAAGGCACCAACCTCAAGCTCTCCTCTATTTGACCATCAATCAATTGAGGCATCACCATCAGGGTGAGTTCTTAACATCAGTCTCCCGTTGTTATATCTGGTTATATTTCTGATAATTGTAATCTATGCTTTTTTTTCTCTAAAATTCTGGTCATTAAATTGTTTTCCTTAGAAAATTGCATTGCTCTTCTACCATGTATATACTATGGTCAGATTTCTTAAAAATTGTTGGAATCTCAGCCAATTTATAGTCTAATTCACCAAGTACCTAAATTGAACATGAGTTCGTAATACTTGCTGATTTAATGAGTCAAATCTTTCTATGCAAGGAAATTGGCTCAAAGATTTCTACAGATTATGTTCTGTGGTCAAACTTTGATGTTTTTTTGGGGAAAAAAAATCCCCTTACCCTTTAATAATTGCTTTATGAACTTTCCCTGTTTCAAATTTATTTTTGTCTTGTTTAACTTGGCTGTCCTGAACATTTCAGTTACTAATTCTTTGGGGGTCTTCAAAGCAAACTCTGTTTTTGTTCTGGATGTAGATTTTCTTAAATTGTTAGCTGTGTTTCAGGAATTCACATCGAGTTGCATCACTCCGGCAACTTTCAAACAATTTTGCTCAATTCAATAATGTGCATCTTCCCCTTCGTTCTAGGAAGCCTTTGACCAAAAAGGTGCATGTCCTTGGCACTATCTATTTGTTCTTGTACTATTTGCAGTGAGAATGGCCTGTTCTAATTATAGGAATTAATTTCAGGATGCTGTAGCTATTAATGAGTGGAGATTTTCCAAGCTAAAGGAATACAAGGACAGAAACATCGAAGTGGAAAATGAAGCTTTTGATCGATACATGCAGAATGTCACCCTATTAGAGGAAGTGTTTTCTGTGAAATCTATCATGGAGGAGTCCATTGGGGATGAAGCTGAACTCAAATCCATATCAACCGATAATAGTACTACTGCTACTACAGAAGAAGACACTGAGGCTATGGTCTCAGGGTTGAAGTTGAAATTGAGATCAAATCCAATGAGAACCAATAACTTCAGAAAGAGAATACAGCAAGTTGTTGATGAGGGATTAAAGAAACTTAAAAAACGTGAGTTAGATGATGGGGAGAAGGAACCAATTGTGGGAACTGGATTGGATCAGGGGCCCAAAGAAGAGGAAAAATGGCGGGCCGAAAGGGCTTCTGCTCTAGGCGATCTCATTGATAAGCTGAACAAGGCCCGAAATGAGGAGGATCTGAAGTTGTGCTTGGAGATGAAATCTCAGCTCTTTAAGGAACATAAATTGACTAGTACATCAGAATCTGAAGAGAAACAGGCTACAAAGAATGATTTGGAACCCCAAAAAGAGTCGAATTATTCATTTCCTAAAGTCGTTAGCGCCACCGAAATCGATCAGGAAACTCTCAATATTGTCTACACTCACTTCACTTCCCTTGAGCATATACAAGGTTTATGATTAAAGACTTAGAGGTAAGATTTTGCGTAGGATTTGGACTTATTAGTCAATTTAGAGGATCTATGATTTGAGGGAGGTGCCATAGATTAATGTAGTTTTTTCCTAGAGTTTCCTTTCTAGTCAATAATAAATCAAGGGATGCTTAGAAGTTGCTTCAAATTTACATTTTCAATTTGGATCCAACAATGGTAACTGATTTTTCTTGTTTTAATGTAGCAATGCAAATTGCATGAAGCCAATGACCCTTTGGGTAGGCTAATGATTCTTCATCTTGATAGCTGTTTTCTGTAACATATTGAGTGTAGGCAAAAGCATTTTTCTTTTTCAAACAAATAAACTAATGCTTATTGTTGTGATGCTTTGGTTCTGCCTGCTTCCTCCTTTTAGCCTTACTAAATAATTAGAAGATTGGGAGATGTGGGTTAGGCCAGTTGGCTAATCGCAACGCGTCCACCCGTTGCACTAGAGTTTCATCTCTTCTCCATACATTAGGGTAGTTAGAATATCGTTTTGGGGTGACATTGGTAATTCACTAAGCTTCCCCAGCCTGTATCCTGTGATAATGGGATGAAAAACAGCCTTAAATTTAGAGAATACAACCAGGGTTTAGTTGTGTGCTTATGTAATCAAGAAAACTTAAAACAAAAAACGAAAAAGTGGTGTTATTATTCTTGAGAAAATTTGTGGTCAAATACCCAGATGGCTTCTTTTTTGGTCGACTTTCACAAATTTGACTTTACTTCCACCCAAACATTTCAACACAATTAAATAAAGAAAACCTGTATGGGCTAAGAAAGTGGGTCAAATAGGCACAGAGATTTTCTTGTGATCTCCATACTATCGAACTTTCAAGAAACCCCCAATTTGGAATACTGGTTTCAAATGATATCTCGTGCCATCTCCCAATTCCCAAATGCCGACTTCATACAATATTTTTCTTTTTCTTGTTTTCTTTTCTCAAAGTCGCAATTTAGGGTTGCTTTGCTTTGCTTGTGTGTCACTTGGACAAAAGAGGATTATATATTATTTGGTAAAGCAATACTAAAAGTGTGAATTGTTAGGAATTAGCATAAAACGAGCATCCAAAGTGGGATCAGATCACAAAATAAAACACATGAAAGACACACTAAATTTGATTTGATGTTGGCCAGTTGTGTCTAGAAGCAAGAAAGTTAAATTGGGAAGATACAAGAGTACGAACAACCAATCTAATTCCTTTAATTTGAGCTTTGGTTTGAAACTACCCATGATTTTATTCAAAAGTGATCCCCACATGGTGTTATGTGAATACTCCGCACATTACAGCGGCCCGTGCATGAAAAAGTCTCATAGACGACAATTGTTGATTTTATGTAAGAATCATTACATGAAATAAGTTTTACATCTCTCGCCTAAATTTTAGGTAGCTAATTTCTCATTTGGTAATGGATATAATTCATTAATTATTGAAATATAAACATTGTTATTACTAGTAGTATCCTTTTCTCATTGTTTGTCTTTGAATCAAAGTCTGATTAGTTTGGGTGGTTTGCTGGTGCCCTCATGAAAAGAATCGCAAATGGGTTCTAAAGGCACATACCATTATGACAAAGAAATCCCATCTTCTGTGAATTTTTGCACATAAAGCTTTTGTTGATGAGGCATTTTAGCTTTGTAGGTTTCTCATCAATACCTAGTGCTTTTTTTTTTTCTTCTTGCTTTATTCTTCTTCATATACTTCTCAACCAACAACTACTTTCTTGGTGGACATCAAACTTTCTAGCCTATCTTCCCTTGAAACAAGGCTGTCAATGCTTTCAATTTCAATGGCTCTACTCATCTCAACATCACCTTTTCATTTTTATCAACCCCATTATCATGGCCGGTGCTCTTCATCCTGTTCATCTCTCTTAATAATAATCATGATTCCTTCTCTCATTGATCTAGATTCACTATAGACTAAATTATTAGCCACCTGAAAAAGAAAACAGGTGACTATCATGTTATTAAAAGAATAAAATGAGAGGTGAGATGATGCCAAGGGGGATCTTGACAATAAAAGCAGAAATCATTCAAGTTTTTAAATGCTTGTATTGATAATCAAAGCAACCCAACTTTTAAAAATGTTTATTTGTGATCTTGGTGAGGCAAAAACATATATGATTTCCCCCCCGAATAGTCAAACTTTGCTTGACGATATCCCTTTCAAGTTTCAACATGTCTCTTATTTAAGATATTGATTCTTTCAACAAGCAATATCACTCTCCCTTAAACTCTCATTCACACATGCTTTCCATCTGGAGCCCTTTTGTGATTCTAATCAAATTGATTTGTTTAATTTAGGCCACGCACGGTGAGGAACCATAATTATGTTGGCGATAAAGATTTACAAGCAAAAAAAATTAAAGAAAAAAAAAACCCAGCTGAGAATCTCACCCTGGTAATGCTGATATATATATATATATATATATATATAAATATATATATATATATATTCTGAGTGACTATCAACAAAGGCCATGTCAAGAAGGAAGCATCTTTCCTGTAATGTTTGGCATCCATATTCCTCTTTTCATAAAGTCCTCTTCATGTGTGTATATGTGCAGCCAGGAATCATGGTTTCTCTCTATAATTGTGTACTTGTACTGTTGGACCTTTGATTGATGCCATTCCAATGCCACTGATTTATGTTCTAAACTGTTCAGACCAAAAAAAATGCTTTCACTTATGATCATGTTTGCCTTGTCAAGTCACACTGCAGCACATGGGTTATTTTAAGTTTGCTTAACTTAGAAACTTACTTGGAAATAAATGGAGATGAGAAAAATATCAGGTGCCAGTGTAAGAGATAGGATTTAGTTATATTTAAATCTCAAAAGAGAGAAAGAAAGAAAAAAAAAAAAAAAAAAAAAAGGCAGGAAAGCAAGGGGATAAGAGAGTAGATATTCGAACATGAGACATCTTTTAACATTGTAGAGAAAATGATCTTTTAAAATGATATAACTTTAATAATTGGTTGTTTTATTCCATGGAAAGGACGTCATAAATATCTTGCACCATTGATTTTAAGTAAATTTAAGTTTTAGCCATAAAAAAACTTTCACTTTTGGAAAAAACCAAAGCTTTTTCAAAAAAGACAGAAAAACCTCTCAACTTTCAAATCAAAGACATGCAAATGTAAAGGATTCCTTAGGAAATCCAAAAATAAATAAGGGCAATTTTGTCCATTTTAGCTTCTTTTACAAAATTTCTCTCTTCTTTGTGTTTTTCCAAAGTCTCCCGTACTGACAATATATATACCATGACTGTACAAGATTCAGAAGTGTCACACATTATTATGGCTTTAGAACTTGGTTGGAGTTTTTTATATTGTATGGCATGAAATCAAGGAGATTAAACTAATTAGGTGCACAGCAGAGTCCAAGAACCAAAATGTGTTATGTCTTGGACCAAATGTTTCCATATACACCGTCATTTTATTCACATGGACAGATAATATGACAAAACATTGGTTGTATTTTGAGCATGCAATTGACCCATACAATGACACATTTGGGTTAGTTAGGCAAACCAGTGGGTTAATAATAATAATAATAATAATAATTATTATTATTATTATTATTATTGGTGCCTGCCTGCCCTGCCTTCACATGGTCCCTACAAATGCAATTGCAGATTTTGTCCTCGCCCAAACCAATTAAGCAAACGTGTTCCAATCACCTTCTTATACCCAAGTTTAAGAAATGTGCAATTGATTAATGCTTCACTGGATTGAATTGAATGGTGGTGCTATTTCTACGGGATTGGATTGGATTAGATTGGGTCAAAAGAAGCAGGTGGCTTGGCTTGGTTCCACAGACCATTGCATATTTTGTAACAACCGTGTTGTGCAAGGGATATGATCAGCAGATAAATCCAAGTGAAAAGTTCCAAACCCAAGTTAAGGTTTTCCAAAATGTTACGTTTTAGTCGATGTGCATGCACTGCACAAATCACAATATAGTAATTAGTGAAAAACTAGAAGAAGAAAACAAAGATTAATTATATATAATAATCTATGATTACTGTAGATTAATTATTTCCAAGTTTTATTAGTAGTGGGTTCATAGCAACTGTTGGGATAGAGATTTGATCTCAACTTTTGGAAAAGTTCAACATTGAACCACCCAAAACTAGTAGGGCATGCTCAATTTAAGGTATATAAGACAAAGGAATTGGAAACTTTCTTTTCTGAAATGAAGCAGTCTACCTCCCAAAACCAACCTTCCCTATTTCCCTAGCTAGCTAGTTGTGCAAAAGCTAAACACTATATGCGTATCCAATAATTCGAAATTTCTCTTTCGTTTGTTGCTTTCAAATAGTTCCTTGTGCTTGAAGCTTGTTCTTATCACCAGTTCTAAAGTCTACAATAGACAATATAAGAACAAGGTAATCTATCAAAAAATAGTTCAATAAAAATGAAATATTTCACTTGTGATGGTTCGCAAACCTGCTCTAATATCATTAAGGGGGTTGAGGTTCCACCTCAAAACTAATTAGCATTTACGGCAATAGCTCAATTCTTTATAAATACGCGTGCAAAGTCCATTAACTTTTCAATATGGAACAACTTCACTTCACAGTCCCCTTAACTGATTTACTCTTTAATTTGGTCTCTCCAATTTTTTTTCGTGTTATTTGTCAAGTGTTTAGTAGACTAAAAGTAATTTGAGGACCTAAATTTCAAATACATGTCATGTTCTTATCTGTTTTGCTAAACAATGGTTTATCATCTCATATTATCTTGATTCTCAATTGAAGTTATCCTTTCAATCAATTGGGATGTAGTTTCTCACTTTTTTTTTTAAACACTGGATTGAGATTGAAATCATAACCTATTTTAATCTGAACCGTTTTCTCATCTTCTCATGATTTGGGCTCCTCTTGGTTCGAGTGCACATTTCACCCCACGGACTCCTCTTGACCTTTTCTCTTTCACACGACAAAAGTGAACCAAAATTAAAGACAAGGGCTCCACATGCATGGCATAGTCTCAAAAAATTTAAGAATTCAAGGCGCGGTGTGTGTGCATGTTTAAATCTCATCCCATCATCTGTGGTATCAAAAGGGATGGAGAAAATGGCCTAAACCAAACATTTTAGTCTTACGTACCCCATTTTGATAAAGACTTTAGCAATTTGAACCAGCTTACACGTACTCTAATCAAGCCAAAAGACCTTGGAAAAGAAGCCTATCCGTAAAAGAAGAAAGAATCATGGAAAACAAACAAGAGAAAGAAAGAAAGATAACCCATTTGTTAAATTATTAATATTCCACCCAACAC